GTTGGTGTGTGTTTTGCAGGTATACTTGATGATCAAGAGGGGAGTGGTGAGGTTTGTACAGATCTACTGGAGGATTAAAAGGGGAGTTGGTGTTTGGTTTTTGCAGGTATACTTGAAGATCCAGAGGAGGGTTGGTGAGGTTTTTGCAGGTCTACTGGAGGATTAAGAGGGGAGTTGGTGATGTTTGTACAGGTGCAATGGAGGATCAAAAGGGGAGTTGGTGAGGTTGTTGCAGCTCTACTGGAGGTTCAAGAGGGGAGTTGGTGAGGTTTGTACTGGTATACTGGAGGATCAAGGATGGAGTTGGTGAGGTTTTTCCATGACTACTGGAGGATCAAGTGGGGAGTTGGTGAGGTTTTTGCAGGTCTACTGGAGGATTAAGAGGGGAGTTGGTGTGGTTTTTGCAGGTATACTGGAGGATCCAGAGGGGAGTTGGTGAGGTTTGTACAGATCTACTGGAGGATCAAGAGGGGGGTTGGTGAGGTTTGTACAGATCTACTGGAGGATCAAGAGGGGAGTTGGTGAGGTTTGTACAGGTATACTGGAGGAGTAAGAGGGGAGTTGGTGAGGTTTGTACAGGTATACTGGAGGATCCAGAAGGGAGTTGGTGAGGTTTTTGCAGGCCTACTGGAGGTTCAAGAGGGGAGTTGGTGTGGTTTTTGCAGGTATATTTGAGGATGCAGAGTGGAGTTGGTGAGGTTTGTACAGGTCAACTTGAGGAACCAGAGGGGAGTTGGTGTGGTTTGTACAGGTAGACTTGAGGTTCAAGAGGGGAGTTGGTGAGGTTGTTGCAGCTCCACTGGAGGTTCAAGAGGGGAGTTGGTGTGGTTTGTACAGGTATACTGGAGGTTCAAGAGGGGAGTTGGTGAGGTTTTTTGAGGTATACTGGAGGATCAAGAGGGGAGTTGGTGAGGTTTGTACTGGTATAGTGGAGGATCAAGGAAGGAGTTGGTGAGGTTTTTCCAGGACTATTGGAGGATTAAGAGGGGAGTTGGTGTGGTTTTTGCAGGTATACTGGAGGATGCAGAGGGGAGTTGGTTAGGTTTGTACAGGTATACTAGAGGATCAAGTGGGGAGTTGGTGAGGTTGTTGCAGGTCTACTGGAGGTTCAAGAGGGGAGTTGGTGAGGTTTGTACATGTGCACTGGAGGATCAAGAGGGGAGTTGGTGAGGTTGTTGCAGGTCTACTGGAGGTTCAAGAGGGGAGTTGGTGAGGTTTGTACATGTGCACTGGAGGATCAAAAGGGGAGTTGGTGATGTTGTTGCACGTCTACTGGAGGTTCAAGAGGGGAGTTGGTGAGGTTTGTACAGGAATACTGGAGGATCAAGAGGGGAGTTGGTTAGGTTTGTACTGGTATACTGGAGGGTCCAGAGGGGAGTTGGTGAGGTTTTTGCAGGCCTGCTGGAGGTTCAAGAGGGAAATTGGTGAGGTTTGTACAGATATACTGGAGGATCAAGAGGTTAGTTGGTGAGGTTTTTGCAGGCCTACTGGAGGTTTAAGAGGGGAATTGGTGAGGTTTGTACAGGTCTACTGGAGGTTCAAGAGGGGAGTTGGTGTGGTTTTTGCAGGTATATTTGAGGATCCAGAGGGGAGTTGGTGAGGTTTGTACAGGTATACTGTAGGTTCAAGAGGGGAGTTGGTGTGGTTTTTGCAGGTATATTTGAGGATCCAGAGGGGAGTTGGTGAGGTTTGTACAGCACTACTTGAGGTTCAAGACGGGAGTTGATGTGGTTTGTACAGGCCTACTGGAGGTTCAAGAGGGGAGTTGGTGAGGTTTTTTTAGGTCTACTGGAGGATTAAGAGGGGAGTTGGTGTGGTTTGTACAGGTCTACTGGAGGTTCAAGGGGGGAGTTGGTGAGGTTTGTACATGTGCACTGGAGGATCAAAAGGGGAGTTGGTGATGTTGTTGCACGTCTACTGGAGGTTCAAGAGGGGAGTTGGTGAGGTTTGTACAGGAATACTGGAGGATCAAGAGGGGAGTTGGTTAGGTTTGTACTGGTATACTGGAGGGTCCAGAGGGGAGTTGGTGAGGTTTTTGCAGGCCTGCTGGAGGTTCAAGAGGGAAATTGGTGAGGTTTGTACAGATATACTGGAGGATCAAGAGGTTAGTTGGTGAGGTTTTTGCAGGCCTACTGGAGGTTTAAGAGGGGAATTGGTGAGGTTTGTACAGGTCTACTGGAGGTTCAAGAGGGGAGTTGGTGTGGTTTTTGCAGGTATATTTGAGGATCCAGAGGGGAGTTGGTGAGGTTTGTACAGGTATACTGTAGGTTCAAGAGGGGAGTTGGTGTGGTTTTTGCAGGTATATTTGAGGATCCAGAGGGGAGTTGGTGAGGTTTGTACAGCACTACTTGAGGTTCAAGACGGGAGTTGATGTGGTTTGTACAGGCCTACTGGAGGTTCAAGAGGGGAGTTGGTGAGGTTTTTTTAGGTCTACTGGAGGATTAAGAGGGGAGTTTGTGTTTTTTTTGCAGGTATACTGGAGGATCAAGAGGGGAGTTGGTGAGGTTTTTGCAGGTCTACTGGAGAATCCAGAGGGGAATTTAATAGGTTTGTACAGGTCTACAAGAGAATTAAGAGGGGAGTTGGTGAGGTTTGTACAGGTCTTCTGGAGGATTAAGAGGGGAGTTGGTGAGGTTTGTACAGGTATACTCGAGGATCAAGAGGGGTGTTGGTGTGTTTTTTGCAGGTCTACAGGGGATCAATGAGGGCATGATGACACATTCAGTCAGGTCACTCACCATCAGAGGATGACACATTCAGTCTAGAGGGGAGGGTCCTTTTGTTCAGCAACAGTTTGAAGCCAAGAAAATGATCTGTTGTTATACACTATGTCATGGGTTTCATGAAGACCACACACATTTGATCTGTTTGAAATAGCATTAAAAACACAAAATCATATTAGGTAAAATGACTTTACTGTTCTATTACGCTTGATATTAAATTGTCCAATGACAGTTAAGATATTTACAGGCATTGAAAAATATCACAAAATGGCCTGTGAGATGTGTGCCCCAGCCGAGACCTGCTCTCTGTTGTACCCTGTCTGAAGGAAATACAAACCTAATAACAATTAGCAACCAATCTTATTCTTGTTGGCTAAAACAATATATAATCCATATGAAAATGTCATGAATAAAAAACACATATAGCCAATTTACATATTGCAGGTCCATTGTTATTGGGACAGGAAGAAAATAGACAGTTGTATTGGTCTTGTTACTAGTGACACAATCACTCTCCTCGTGTACTGTACTCCCCGTATGGATCTGGAAGTGTACCTGTCACAAGTATTGCAGGATATCACAGCTTGCTCACATGATTTAAGTCAAACTCTTCCATAATCATGATAAAGCTCTGGAAACCATTATATAACTGACTATATATAAGCATGTGTTGTGTGAGAATGGCGAGTCCAGGTGCTCCTGACAAGGCGAGTGTATCCTGCCCCACTACCATAGGCACGTTAAGTACATGTTCTATATCAGTGACGGGTTGGACTGTAGCTAGGTCACTGACACTAGAAAAACTGTATTCTAAGAACACTTCTTTGCTAACTTCTATGACATAATCTTGAAAAGTGAAATATACAGATAAAGATCTTTATCAGCTGTACATACACATAGAGCTCATGTTACACACTAGTGGCTCGTTAAAGTCAGGGTGTACATGTTCTATATCAGTGACGGGTTGGACTGTAGCTAGGTCACTGACACTAGAAAAACTGTATTCTAAGAACACTTCTTTGCTAACTTCTATGACATAATCTTGAAAAGTGAAATATACAGATAAAGATCTTTATCAGCTGTACATACACATAGAGCTCATGTTACACACTAGTGGCTCGTTAGAAAAGTCAGGGTGTACCATTGCTTTTCAGTCATGTCATGACAGGGGCAATTTATCGGTCACTGCAAAATGGGCTCATCTGGTAAACTTCATTATTGTAACACAAGTTACTTACAAGATGGTAACTTCCACAGGAGTTACTTACAAGTTGGTAACTTCCACAGGGGTTACTTGCATGTTGGTAACTTCCACAGGGGTTACTTACATGTTGGTAACTTCCACTGGGGTTACTTGCATGTTGGTAACTTCCACAGGGGTTACTTGCATGTTGGTAACTTCCACAGGGGTTACTTGCATGTTGGTAACTTCCACAGGGGTTACTTGCATGTTGGTAACTTCCACAGGAGTTACTTACATGTTGGTAACTTACACAGGGTTTACTTACAAGTTGGTTACTTACACACATTACTTACATATCACTGACCCTAACACCACAACATTATCTATTTGCTGCAACATTAATGTCTGTGTTCATGTGTGTGTTAACGTGTGTCTTCATGTGTGTGTGTGTGTGTGTTGACTTGTGTGTTCGTGTGTGTGTTGACTTGTGTGTTCATGTGTGTGTTGACTTGTGTGTTCATGTGTGTTGACTTGTGTGTTCATGTGTGTCTTGACTTGCGTGTTTATATGTGTTAACGTGTGTGTGTTGACCTGTGTGTTTAGTTGTGTGTCGACTTGTGTGTTCATGTGTGTGTTGACTTGTGTGTTCAGGGTTGTGTTGACTTGTGTGTTCAGGGGTGTGTTGACTCATGTGATCATGTATGTGTGTTGACTTGTTTGTTCAGGGGTGTGTTGACTTTTGTGTTTAGATGTGTGTTAACTTGTGTGTTCAGGTGTGTGGACTCGTGTGTTCAGGGGTGTGTTGACTTTTGTGTTTATGTGTGTGTTGACTTGTGTGTTCAGGTGTGTGTGTGTTGACTTGTGTGTTCAGGGGTGTGTGGGTGTGTTGAGTTGTGTGTTCAGATGTGTGTGTGTGGACATGTGTGTTCAGGTGTGTGTGTGTTGACTTATGTGTTCAGGGGTGTGTTGACTTTTGTGTTTAGGTGTGTGTTAACCTGTGTGTTCAGGTGTGTGTGCGTGTGTTTTGTTTGTTGACTTGTGTGTTCAGAGGTGTGTGTGTGTGTGTGTGTGTGTGTGTGTGTGTGTTTTGTTTGTTGACTTGTGTGTTCAGGTGTGTGTGTGTGTGTGTTGACTTGTGTGTATACAGACATCTTGCAGACACTGCAGGTGAGCCGGTCAGGAACATTGTATCCGTTGCTAATAGGATATCCGGTACATACAGGGGAGGCAACAGCCATGCCCTCACCCAACTGATTACAAAACTAACACCTTGTTTAACATGAAACACATTTGATGTAAAACCTCCACTACTTACACATCACTCCATTAATGTACGTATAGTCACCATTATTTTCCATTAATTTCAAAAGAATACAATTTGAAAAACAACAACATGGAGCCAAACTGTGTCTAAAACTTGCTCATTGTTGAAATAAGCACAATAAACTTGGAGTGCCTTTCGTTGTGATAATGATTAATTATGGGGATAAAAAGGTGGGACTTCATGGATGTCACCTTGTGTATTGTACACCCTCTCCTGTATATCACATGCTGTTCACTTTAAACTGGAGCGAGCCTTTGGTAGTAAGCTATGTTTTCAAGTTTTGTAGTTTCAGCCCAGCAAACTCTCCTCAGTCCAGACTGCAAGGGGTGGGAGTAGCCTGTAGACTTGTTTGCTCATTGAAATAGACATCATAGTGTGACATTAAGAAATCTTTGAAGTTTTTGGCAAATGAATTATACATGTGTGCGATAACATCTGACAAGATCAGAAACAATATATAGCGAGTCTACCTTATTAGCTTCACATACAGGGGACAAGTGGATATGCTACACAGAATTCACAATTGTGTATACAGGTGTGTGGATACAGAGATCTCACAGGTGTGAATAGGTGTGTGCACACCCAGATCTCACAGTTGTGTATACAGGTGTGAGGATACAGAGATCTCACAGTTGTGGATACAGGTGTGTGGATACGGAGATCTCACAGGAGCGTATACAGGTGTGTGGATACAGAGATCTCACAGTTGTGTATACAGGTGTGTGGATACAGAGATCTCACAGTTGTGGATACAGGTGTGTGGATACAGAGATCTCACAGTTGTGGATACAGGGTGTGTGGATACAGAGATCTCACAGGAGCGTATACAGGTGTGTGGATACAGAGATCTCACAGTTGTGTATACACACAGATCTCACAGTTGTGTGTACATGTGTGTGGATACAGAGATCTCAGTTGTGTATACAGGTGTGGACACAGAGATCTCACAGTTGTGTATACAGGTGTTTGGATACAGAGATCTCACAGTTGTGTATACAGGTGTATGCACACACAGATCTCACAGTTGTGTATACAGGTGTGTGTGGTAGAGATCTGAACCCATGCTAGACATCATGGGGGTTGGGGGAGGGGGTGTTTGCGTCTGGAGACAGGACTGTATCGCATCCTTGACCTCCGACCTCAGACCGGACATGAGCTCCCATTTCAAGTAATCAAGATCCTGCTGGGACAGCATGCTTGGGTAGCTGTTGTTGCCATAGCTGTTGTTGTTGTTGAGGTTCTGGTAGCTGTTGCCAAAGTTACTGATACTTGTACTTGAGCTGACCTTCTGGAGGTTATGTAACCTTGGGCTTGATGTAGGTGAAACACCTCTCAGTGTGTGGACTATATCTTGGCGGAGGCAGTCCATGTGTGATGAGGTCCGTGCACACTCACGCTTTCTGTCTTCTCGCAGTTCGTATCTGTGGAGAGAGATTACTATAATCACACTTCTTATCAACACACTTCCAATTTGAGTATGATACTCCATTATATTGATCACCAATAAGGTTGCAAGTTCCTGTGATTTTAAAAACCCAACAGTGTAGAATCATATTAATATTTCTCGAGGCCTCCTTGAGCTTGCCATCCCATCCATGAGCATTGTGAGGGCCTCACCGGAGACTGGAGATGTCCTGCTTGATCTCGAGCAGGTCGTCTTCATTTACTCCATCCTGCCGCAGCTGCTTCTTAGTCTGATGGATGTAGCGACTCACCAGGCGACGCATCACATCCTGCAACACAGACACACATCAAGAATACAACACTCAGTCCAAGAATACAACACTCAGAAGCAGAATACAACACTTAGTCCCAGAATACAACTTTCAGTCCAAGAATACAACACTCAGTCCAAGAATACAACACTCAGTCCAAGAATACAACACTCAGTCGCAGAATACAACACTCAGTCCAAGAATACAACACTCAGTCCAAGAATACAACACTCAGTCCAAGAATACAACACTCAGTCCAAGAACAACACTACAACACTCAGTCCAAGAATACAACACTCAGTCCCAGAATACAACACTACCAAGAATACAACACTCAGTCTCAACACTCAGTCCAAGAATACAACACTCAGTCCCAGAATACAACACTCAGTCCCAGAATACAACACTCAGTCCCAACAACACTAGTCAGTCCCAGAGATACAACACTCAGTCCCAGTCAACAACACTCAGTCCCAGCATACCACTCAGTACAACACTCAGTCAACACTCAGTCCCAGAATACAACACTCAGTCCACTCAGAATACAACACTCAGTCCAACACTCAGTCCAAACACTCAGTCCCAGAATACAACACTCAGTCCCAGAATACAACACTCAGTCCCAGAATACAACACTCAGTCCACTCAGTCCCAGAATACAACAGTCCAGAATACAACACTCAGTCCAAGAATACAACACTCCAAGTCCACTCAGTCCAAGAATACAACACTCAGTCCAAGAATACAACACTCAGTCCCAGAATACATACAACACTCAGTCCAAGAATACAACACTCAGTCCTCAGTCCCAGAATACAACACTCAGTCCCAGAATACAACACTCAGTCCCAGAATACAACACTCAGTCCAGAATACAACACTCAGTCGCAGAATACAACACTCAGTCCCAGAATACAACACAACACTCAGTCCCAGAATACAACACTCAGTCCCAGAATACAACACTCAGTCCAAGAATACAACACTCAGTCCAAGAATACAACACTCAGTCCAAGAATACAACACTCAGTCCAAGAATACAACACTCAGTCCCAGAATACAACACTCAGTCCAAGAATACAACACTCAGTCCCAGAATACAACACTCAGTCCCAGAATACAACACTCAGTCCCAGAATACAACACTCAGTCCCAGAATACAACACTCAGTCCAAGAATACAACACTCAGTCCAAGAATACAACACTCAGTCCCAGAATACAACACACAGTCCAAGAATACAACACACAGTCCAAGAATACAATGCGCAGTTCCAGAATACAACACTCAGTACCAGCATAAAACGCCCAGTCCCAGAATACAACGCCCAGTCCCAGAACACAACACTCACTCCTAGAATACAACACTAACTATTAACTAATAAATTACAGTATCTGACACTGACTTAAGCCATTAGTATTTCAAACTCACTGTAACTGTAAGTTACAGCATCTCAAACTGAGTATAGTTGTGCATAACGGTATCTAGTACTGACTATAATTATAACTTACAGCAGCTTATAATGATAAGCTGGTTCCCGTCTCCCTTTGGGCGCGCTAACGTTCGCCAAAGCTAGGTATATTGCAATATTCAAGACGGGGCCCAGCTTACTTATAATGACCACACATGAAGTTACAGTACCTGATACTGCAGGGCGTCTGGCTGAGGGGGGATAACTCCACGAACATCACCATTGTAGGTTGGTCTCTGGAAGTAGAAGCGGTGGAACGACAGCATGAGTGAGTGAGATACTGTTGCTAGTATTATATGCTCCATAAGATCATGGTATATGCTAATGTAGTTAATGAAAGTTTCCAATTTACATCACTGTCAATAAATACTGTGTTGTTTTCCCGCTAAAGACAAAGAAAGTGCAGAAACTACTGATAATCTGGTTATTCTTATACTCAGAGACACTGTCATTGACGTCTTTGTGTAATGAGGCTTATCTTCCTGTGTCCAGTTTTCATGGTTACCACTGAGAATGCTGGGTATTTACAGCAGCCACTGATGAATAACTTCTCTCTGCACCAAGTCAATCAAGACACTTCTTCATCACCAGCATGTCAAGACACTTCTCCAGCACCAGCATGTCAAGACACCGCTTTCCGGCCAGAGAACTCACAGTATGATTGGCAGTAATGCCACACAGAGACGTCTCTTGAATGTCATATAATGCCACACAGAGACGTCTCTTGAATGACAGTAATGCCACACAGAAAAGTCTCTTGAATGTCAGTAATGCAACACAGACACGTCTCTTGAATGTCAGCAATGCAACACAGAGACGTCTCTTGAATGTCAGTAATGCCACACAGAGGCGTCTCTGGAATGTCAGGAATGCCACACAGAGATGTGTCTTGAATGTCAGTAATGTCACACGGACGTCTTTTGAATATCAGTAATGCCACAAAGAGACGTCTCTTGAATGTCAGTAATGCTACACAGATAAGTCACTTGAATGTCAGGAATGCCACACAGAGAAGTCTCTTGAATGTCAGTAATGCTACACAGAAAAGTCTCTTGAATGTTAGTAATGCCACACAGAGACGTTTCTTGAATGTCAGCAATGCCACAAAGAGACGTCTCTTGAATGTCAGGAATGCTACACAGAGACGTCTCTTGAATGTCAGTAATGCCACACAGAGACGTCACTTGAATGTCAGGAATGCTACACAGAGACGTCTCTTGAATGTCAGGAATGCTACACAGAAAAGTCTCTTGAATGTCAGTAATGCCACACAGAGAAGTCCCTTGAATGTCAGGAATGCTACACAGAGACGTCTCTTGAATGTCAGTAATGCCACACAGAGACGTCACTTGAATGTCAGGAATGCTACACAGAGACGTCTCTTGAATGTCAGGAATGCTACACAGAAAAGTCTCTTGAATGTCAGTAATGCCACACAGAGAAGTCCCTTGAATGTCAGTAATGCTACACAGAAAAGTCTCTTGAATGTTAGTAATGCCACACAGAGACGTCTCTTGAATGTTAGTAATACCACACAGACGTATCTTCAATGTCAGCAATGCCACACAAACGTATCTTCAATGTCAGTAATGCCACTCAGTGAAATCTCTTGGCAATCACAGTAATGCCACACAGAGAAATCTCTTGAATGACAGTAATGCCACACAGAGAAATCTCTTGAATGTCAGTAATCCCACACAGAGAAATCTCTTGAATGACAGAAATGCCACACAGAGACGTCTCTTGAATGTCAGTAATGCCACACAGAGAAATCTCTTGAATGACAGTAATGCCACACAGACACGTCTCTTGAATGTCAGTAATGCCACACAGTGAAATCTCTTGGATGACAGTAATGCCACACAGAGAAGTCTCTTGGCAATCACAGTAATGCCACACAGAGAAATCTCTTGAATGTCAGTAATGCCACACAGAGAAATCTCTTGAATGTCAGTAATGCCACACAGAGAAATCTCTTGAATGACAGAAATGCCACACAGAGACGTCTCTTGAATGTCAGTAATGCCACACAGAGAAATCTCTTGGCAATCACAGTAGTGCTACGAAGAGGAATCACAGTAGGATTGGCAGTACATCTATCCAAGTACTTTCATTGGCTAACCAAGCAGTTTGTTTCAACCTAAACAAGCTGCACCCATTCGTGGTGTACTGTTTCCTCCTTGGTTGGAGAAGTTTGTGTTAATGTCAGGCACTAAGTTTCTGGATCAGGGCTCATTAGACTCAGGTATTACATATATGAAGATCAAACATAGCTACATTACACAGTCAAACAAATCCAAGGGTTATAGAGGAATGCAGTGAAACTTGTGAAGTATTGTATGTCATGTTGCTGTGTTATGAACAGTGCCTACATCAGGTGTACACAATCTACTTACTTCTTCTATTTCATAGGGATTGCCACTTTCTACAGTCTGCAACAGACATCAAGCAACAAAATGTCTATTGTAAAAAAGCAAAATAAACAAGCATAAACAATTAATGAAAATCTAAACTATTCCACAAATCATAGAAACAATGTCACATTTCATGTAATGTCCACACATGCTCTTGCTAATAGCCATTACACATATTTTTCTTTATAATTTTCCAAACAAATATTGACATTAATAAGATAAATAAATTTTCAAACATTTCCATCCAAATGTTTGCATAGGTTAATCACAATGGTTTCATAGCAACACAGGTATATATTGTCAGGCATGAATCCAAATGGTAGCTACAACATCCATGCAGTGTACAAGCAGGCACTGTGGTTTTGAGTGGAGTTGGGCAGCCCAGTGAGAAGCCCTGAGTGAGACAAGCAGAAAGGGACCATCAGCAACAGACCACCAGTCCTCAGGGCCTACAGGATACAGTTAGAGAATAGTGAGAATAACCAATAACAGACAGTGAATGAAGGGTTCAGACTCCCGAGTGAATGACTGGTGTATCCCAGAGTCTGTGGCACTTGCAATTACAAGGGAGAGAAAATCCATCATTGTAAGTTTTGAAAAGCTCGTTCTATTCCTTCACACTTACTGGTATTTTCGGAATTATGGAGGACTGATGGATTATGGTGTACAAGTGAGCAGCTGTAACATCAACATTTCGTATGATCAAGATTGTCTGTGTGTTTACTAGAAGAGTAAAAATGGGACTCTTGAATGTCAGTAATGCCACACAGAGAGTCTCTTGAAAGTCAGTAATGCCACACAGAGAAGTCTCTTGGCAATCACAGTAATGCCACACAGAGAAGTCTCTTGAATGTCAGTAATGCAACACAGAGAAATATCTTCAATGTGAGTAATGCCACACAGAGAAGTCTCTTAAATCTCAGTAATGCCACACAGAGAAATATCTTGAATGTCAGTAATGCCACACAGAGACGTCTCTTGGATGTCAGTAAGGACACACAGAGAAGTCTCTTAAATGTCAGTAATGCCACACAGAGAAGTCCCTTGAATATCAGTAATGCCACACAGATGTCTTTTGAATGTGAGAAATGCCACACAAAAATATCTTGAATGTCAGTAATGCCACACAGTGATGTCATTTAAATGTCAGTATTGCCACACAGAGATGTCTCTTGAATGTCAGTAAGGACACACAGAGAAGTCTCTTAAATGTCAGTACTGCCACACAGAGACATCATTAGAATGTCAGTAATGCCACAAAGAAACGTCTTTTGATTGTTAGTAATGCCACACAGAGAAGTCCCTTGAATGTGAGTAATGCCACACAGAGAAATATCTTGAATGTCAGTAATGCCACGCAATGAGGTCTCTTGAATGTCAGTAATGCCACACAGAGAATTCTCTTGAATGTGAGTAATGCCACACAGAGAAGTCTCTTGAATGTCAGTAATGCCACACAGAGAAGTCTCTTGAATGTCAGTTATGCCAAACAGAAAAGTCTCTTGAATGACAGTAATGTCGCACAGAGAAATTTCTTGAATGTCAGTAATTCCACATAGAGAAATATCTTCAATGTCAGTAATGGCACACAGGTAGGTCTGTTGAATGTCAGTAATGCCACACAGAGAAGTCTCTTAAATGTCAGTAATGCTACACAGAGACGTCTCTTGAATGTCAGTAATGCCACACAGCGAAGTCTGTTGAATCTCAGTAATGCCACACAGAGAAGTCTCTTGAATGTCAGTAATGCAACACAGAGAAATATCTTCAATGTGAGTAATGCCACACAGAGAAGTCTCTTAAATCTCAGTAATGCCACACAGAGAAATATCTTGAATGTCAGTAATGCCACACAGAGACGTCTCTTGGATGTCAGTAAGGACACACAGAGAAGTCTCTTAAATGTCAGTAATGCCACACAGAGAAGTCCCTTGAATATCAGTAATGCCACACAGATGTCTTTTGAATGTGAGAAATGCCACACAAAAATATCTTGAATGTCAGTAATGCCACACAGTGATGTCATTTAAATGTCAGTATTGCCACACAGAGATGTCTCTTGAATGTCAGTAAGGACACACAGAGAAGTCTCTTAAATGTCAGTACTGCCACACAGAGACATCATTAGAATGTCAGTAATGCCACAAAGAAACGTCTTTTGATTGTTAGTAATGCCACACAGAGAAGTCCCTTGAATGTGAGTAATGCCACACAGAGAAATATCTTGAATGTCAGTAATGCCACGCAATGAGGTCTCTTGAATGTCAGTAATGCCACACAGAGAATTCTCTTGAATGTGAGTAATGCCACACAGAGAAGTCTCTTGAATGTCAGTAATGCCACACAGAGAAGTCTCTTGAATGTCAGTTATGCCAAACAGAAAAGTCTCTTGAATGACAGTAATGTCGCACAGAGAAATTTCTTGAATGTCAGTAATTCCACATAGAGAAATATCTTCAATGTCAGTAATGGCACACAGGTAGGTCTGTTGAATGTCAGTAATGCCACACAGAGAAGTCTCTTAAATGTCAGTAATGCTACACAGAGACGTCTCTTGAATGTCAGTAATGCCACACAGCGAAGTCTGTTGAATCTCAGTAATGCCATTCAGAGAAGTCTCTGAAATGTCAGTAATGCCACACAGAGAAGGATCCTTAATGTCAGTAATGTCACAAAGAGCAGTCTCTTGAATGTCAGTAATGCAACACTGACAGATCTCTTGAATGTCAGTAATATTACACAGAGCAGTCTCTTGAATGTCAGTAATGCTACACAGAGATGTATCTTGAATGTCAGTAATGTCACACAGGTAGGTCTGTTGAATGTCAGTAATGCCACACAGAGAAGTCTCTTAAATGTCAGTAATGCTACACAGAGACGTCTCTTGAATGTCAGTAATGCCACACAGCGAAGTCTGTTGAATGTCAGTAAGGCCACACAGAGAAATCTCTTGAATGACAGTAATGCCACACAGTGCAGTATCTTGAATGTCAGTAAGGCCACACAGAGATGTCTCTTGAATGTCAGTAATGCCACACAGAGAAGTCTCTTGAATGACAGTAATGCCACACAGAGAAGTCTCTTGAATGTCAGTAATGCCACACAGAGATGTCTTTTGAATGTCAGTAATGCCACACAGAGAAATCTCTTGAATGACAGTAATGCCACACAGTGAAGTCTCTTGAATGTCAGTAAGGCCACACAGAGTAGTCTCTTGAATGTCAGTAATGCCACACAGAGAAGTCTCTTGAATGTCAGTAATGCCACACAGAGAAATCTCTTGAATGTCAGTAATGCCACACAGAGAAGTCTCTTGAGTGACAGTAATGCCACACAGAGAAGTCTCTTGAATGTCAGTAATGCCACACAGAGAAATCTCTTGAATGTCAGTAATGCCACACAGAGAAGTCTCTTGAATGACAGTAATGCCACACAGAGAAGTCTCTTGAATGTCAGTAATGCCACACAGAGATGTCTCTTGAATGTCAGTAAGGCCACACAGAGAAATCTCTTGAATGACAGTAATGCCACACAGAGAAGTCTCTTGAATGTCAGTAATGCCACACAGAGAAGTCTCTTGAATGATAGTAATGCCACACAGAGAAGTCTCTTGAATGTCAGTAATGCCACACAGTGCAGTATCTTGAATGTCAGTAATGCCACACAGAGAAATCTCTTGAATGTCAGTAATGCCACACAGAGAAGTCTCTTGAATGACAGTAATGCCACACAGAGAAGTCTCTTGAATGTCAGTAATGCCACACAGAGAAGTCTCTTGAATGACAGTAATGTCACACAGAGAAGTCTCTTGAATGATAGTAATGCCACACAGAGAAGTCTCTTGAATGTCAGTAATGCCACACAGAGATGTCTCTTGAATGTCAGTAAGGCCACACAGAGAAATCTCTTGAATGACAGTAATGTCACACAGAGAAGTCTCTTGAATGACAGTAATGTCACACAGAGAAGTCTCTTGAATGACAGTAATGCCACACAGAGAAGTCTCTTGGATGTCAGTAATGCCACACAGAGATGTCTCTTGAATGTCAGTAAGGCCACACAGAGAAATCTCTTGAATGACAGTAATGCCACACAGAGAAGTCTCTTGAATGACAGTAATGCCACACAGAGAAGTCTCTTGAATGACAGTAATGCCACACAGAGAAGTCTCTTGGATGACAGTAATGCCACACAGTGCAGTATCTTTGCAAGTTTATTGTCCTAATGAGACAGATCCTCCTCAATGTTGGTTCAATACAAGCAGTATTCAGCTTTACCTGGTGTCCATTGAGACTACTGTGCTCATTTACAGCAGAATGATATCGTATAATTATTTAAATAAGTCAAATTAGCACTGATTGGTAATAAGCTAATGGACAAAAGGAAGGTTGATGTATTAACTCCTCGCATCACCAATCAATGGTAATTAACTTTTGGCTTCCCTTGTCATTTAAATTTAACGTGTGTGGTGGCATATCTGTGTTAGGGGCAATGCCCCTCTGTGTATTTGAAGGGAATATGGACAGTGAGCGGTACACAGATATTCTCGAGGGACATTTACTTCCATCTGCTCACGTGTTCTATGGAAAGTTTTTGATTTTTCAGCAGGACAACGACACAAAACAGCGTTCAAAGCATTCACAGGCCCGGTTTCGGACCCAAAATATGACATTATTAGATTGACCAAGCTATAGCCCTGACCTAAATTGAATAGAAAATGTTTTGGGTGTTATGAAGGAAAGTGAAAGAAAAATCTGACAAATATTGCTGACATGAAAGAAGAGGTGGTCCGATATTGGGACAGCATGGACCACGACTTTCTAACTTCTTTGATCAGTAGTATGCCCCGCCGCATTGAGGCCTGCATTGCTGCCCATGGTGACTTGACAAAAACTAACCGTTCACCTGTCTTTGAATCTGGAGTTATGTTCTGCTAATATTCACATTTAATACATGAGCAATGAGCGAAAAAAATTAAAAATTTACAATCTTTAAATTCTCAATAATTTCTGGTTGTACTGTACTACAACAATCCTCCTTTTCTGGAGCCCCACTGTAGTACTCTTATTATGAGCATTGATTCATATATATACTGGTGCACTTGATATTTGAAATGATACATCACTCTCCAGATCATGTTTGTTTCATTAACATCACACTAAACTGTCAGACTTCAGCCTGTAAATAATCCACTCAGGGGCAGACAACCCAGCGACTGACATATTGAGTCTCGATCTCCGTAGATGGGGTACAATGACATGCATCAAGAGGTCACAATCCCGTCAGTCACCGCTTAGGACTGGTTGTTTGTTTCTTTCTTTAACACCCATATCAGCAATATTTCAGCTTATGACAAAATGTTGGTTGATGAAGGCCAGTTCAAACATTGGTCTTCAAGGGTATTGCAAACAAAAGCAACAAAAACCTTTCCATATTACAAAGAATCTGTGCTATGATTTCAAGTATATCTGAGCAAGTGTTTATGACTCTGTGTTGAGGGATGACACCAGATGTCCTACCAGAGACACTGACACCATATCTGTGTATGTGGTGTCCTACCAGAGACACTGACATCATATCTGTGTATGTGGTGTCCTGGACTGTGTGTATGAGCTGTCTGTTCCTGCAGTGAAATTATTCCTTTGTACTATATGCTATATTTCTCTCGAGGAATCATTCTCTTGGAATTGTTTTAACTGAATACAACCACCCATTAGATACCAACAGTAAAAAGTAACTGTGCATTACATAAAACTGCAGAAAATATAAGTTATTTGAAAAGTAATAAAAATAACCCTAAATAAACATGTAGCAAAGCACTTTGCAAGAAATGTCACATATCACGCGTGGCACGTGCACTTTGTGCACACTGAAGTTAGTTACTCACTCTGCCCTCTTTTTGACACCTGAAGTTCACACGCCTGTTTTTGAAAATTGAAGAGCAGGTGAATATTCTCTAGCCTCTGAATGTCGTGGAAAACTTGTGAATTTCAACCTCTACTCCGCTTACAGAACATAAGGCCTGACCCACTCAACGAAGCTTCCACAAAACTGGAAGAGTGACAACCTTTAGTCCAGATCACTTACTTCTGTACCCTGAAAACCCACAATACACAATATCTGTGACCACTATTTACAAGGCATTGTGGGGACATATTCTCTAGTTGTTTTTAAATATCACAGTGTTAATCCTGTGGACTTTGCTTTGAGTATACATTTTAGTCTATGATACTGGAGATATTAGTGAAACATATCTGTATTTCATAAAAAATAATAAAAAATGTGTTCATGTAGAATACAAATGTACAATACAGAAAATTAATCTGTAACCATAGGTGTTTTTGGTGGACAACATTAAGGAAACGTGATACACATGCAGCAAGTGGTGAACAACGCTTTTATACAATATGCATGCTGCTGAACAAAATCACACATAACTAAATCATTCTGTGATGTTTTCAACAAAAAGAACACAGCCACCCAATTAATTACATGCATCCAGCAAATTGACTGTGAAGTGCACTCCTTCTCCTGTACGAGTCCAGCTGCTAAACGCGCTGACCCCTCCCAATACATGCCAACGATGTTTAGTTTCACATGACTTGTGACTTGTGAGCTGTGCACAGAACACCTTACCCCTCTACTACTGAAGGGAATAACCCACCACCCCCCCACCCCCCGGTGAAGCTGACCCCAACAATGGGCTCACCTTGTAGATATCATATTCCACTGGACCCACAGACTGTTTAGACTACAACAAACAAAAAGGCTAATTTAACTCAGAAAAAAATAAAAGTGCCAAATCAAGGCTAGCTACAAGGAACTGCATTAGTAAGATGCACTTTATGATGACATTACAGAAACACGGCAGAGACTGACCCTATTGTACTTGACATGGATTCACCGCCATGTCTGGAGTAAAGCAACAGTTGTCTCCCTTTAAACAGAATGCACGCCATGTTTATAATACCTTGCAAATTAAGAATTTTCTTTAAACTTTGGCTTATTAACTTTTTACCAACAAAAAGGTATATTTGATGTGTAATAACTTGAACGTCATGCTATTACAATTGTTCTTCTATATTACTATATCAGTAATATCAAATGTTAAAATATACACCTTTTGGAAAGAATATTTTAAAGAATGAAGGTTTAAAATAAAAGATAATTGAAATTTAACTTACAGATATAGATAAGAAAAAGGAATTCAGTAAAAAAATGGAGGGGAACTTCAAGGGCATAGGACTGAGTGCTTGTGTAATTAATCGACTGACATCCTGATTGATCTATGATAGACAGGCAGTGTGATTTACCCATGACTGAGTGAAGGATGACCCATGACTGACTGAAGGATGACCCATGACTGACTGTAGGATGACCCATGACTGACTGTAGGATGACCTATGACTGACTCTAGGATGACCTATGACTGATTGTAGGATGACCCATGACTGACTGAAGGATGACCCATGACTGATGACCCATGTAGTGAATGATGACCAATGTCTGACTGTAGGATGACCCATGACTGACTGAAGGATGACCCATGACTGAATGTAGGATGACCAATGACTGACTGTAGGATGATGACTGACTGTAGGATGACCCATGACTGACTGTAGGATGACTGACTGTAGGATGACTGATGACTGATTGTAGGATGACCCATGACTGATGTAGGATGACCCATGACTGATTGTAGGATGACCCATGACTGACTGTAGATTGAGGATGACCCATGTCTGACTGTAGGATGACCTATGATGACCTATGACTGACTGTAGGATGACCCATGACTGACTGTAGGATGACCCATGACTGACTGAAGGATGACCTATGACTGACTGTAGGATGACTGACTGATAGCTGATGACTATGACTGACTGATGACCTATGACTGATTAGGATGACCCATGACTGACTGTAGGATGACTGACTATGACTGACCTAGGATGACCCATGACCTATGACTGACTGTAGGATGTAGGATGACCTATGACTGACTGTAGGATGACCCATGACTGACTGTAGGATGACCCATGACTGACTGTAGGATGACCTATGACTGACTGAAGGATGACCTATGACTGACTGTAGGATGACCCATGACTGATTGTAGGATGACCCATGACTGACTGTAGGACCCATGACTGTAGGATGACCCATGACTGACCCATGTATGACTGTAGGATGATCTATGACTGACTGTAGGATGATCTATGACTGACCTATGACTGACTGTAGGATGACCCATGACTGACTGTAGGATGACCTATGACTGACTGTAGGATGACCTATGACTGACTGTAGGATGACCTATGACTGACTGTAGGATGACCTATGACTGACTGTAGGATGACCTATGACTGACTGTAGGATGACCCATGACTGATTGTAGGATGACCCATGACTGACTGTAGGATGACCTATGACTGATTGTAGGATGACCCATGACTGACTGTAGGATGACCCATGACTGACTGAAGGATTATCTATGACTGATTGTAGGATGACCTATGACTGATTGTAGGATGATCTCTGACTGACTGTAGGATGACCTATGACTGACTGTAGGATGACCCATGACTGACTGTAGGATGACCTATGACTGACTGTAGGATGACCCATGACTGACTGTAGGATGACCCATGATCTGACTGTAGGATGACCTATGACTGACTGAAGGATGACCTATGACTGACTGTAGGATGACCTATGACTGACTGAAGGATGACCTATGACTGACTGTAGGATGATCTATGACTGATTGTAGGATGATCCATGACTGATATGGACTGACTGTAGGATGATCTATGACTGACCTATGACTGACTGTAGTATGACCCATGACTGACTGTAGGATGACCTGACTGGCTGTAGGATGACCTATTACTGACTGTAGGATGACCTATGACTGACTGTAAGAAGACCTATGACTGACTGTAGGATGATCTATGACTGACTGTAGGATGATCCATGACTGATTGTAGGATGACCCATCACTGACTGAAGGATGACCTATGACTGACTGTAGGATGACCCATGACTGATTGTAGGATGACCCATGACTGGCTGTAGGATGATCTATGACTGATTGTAGGATGACCCATGTCTGACTGTAGGATGACCCATGACTGACTGAAGGATTATCTATGACTGATTGTAGGATTACCTATGACTGATTGTAGGATGACCTCTGACTGACTGTAGGATGACCCATGTCTGACTGTAGGATGACCTGACTGACCATGACTGACTAGGATGACCCATGACTGATGATGACCTATGACTGACTGTAGGATGATTCCACTGACTGACTGTAGGATGACCCATGACTGACTGTAGGATGACCCATGACTGACTGTAGGATGACCCATGACTGACTGTAGGATGACCTATGACTGACTGTAGGATGACCTGTATGACTGACTGTAGAGATAGGATGACCTATGACTGACTGTAGGATGACCTATGACTGACTGTAGATGATCTATGACTGACTGAGGATGATCTGTAGGATGACCTGACTGATGACTGACTGTAGGATGACTGACTGACTGTGACCTATGACTGATGAGGATGACCTATTACACTGACTGACTGTAGGATGACCTGATGACTGACTGACTGTAGGATGACCTATGACTGACTGTAGGATGACCTATGATGACTGAGGATGATCCATGACTGATTGTAGGATGACCCATGACTGACTGAAGGATGACCTATGACTGACTGTAGGATGACCCATGACTGATTGTAGGATGACCTATGACTGTAGGATGACCCTGATGACCCATGTCTGATCTGTAGGATGACCTATGACTGACTGTAGGATGACCCATGACTGACTGTAGGATGACCTGTGACTGACTGTCGGATGACCCATGACTGACTGTAGGATGACCTATGACTGATGACCTATGACTGACTGTAGGATGACCTATGACTGACTGTAGGATGACCCATGACTGACTGTAGGATGACCTATGACTGACTGTAGGATGACCTATGACTGACTGTAGGATGACCCATGACTGACTGTAGGATGACCTATGACTGACTGAAGGATGATTTGAGGTTGATTTTGGTTGAAAAACTGTTGATGTGAAAATCAAACAGAAAAAATGAAATTAAGAAACGTCAGCTGGCAAGACAAAATCATACTTAAGATTGTAACATGGTTTAAACAAACAATACAACAAAATTAAGACCATTGTACTGATAAAACTAAATTGTAAGAATTAGCGACCAGAAAGCAACTGATGGGCAACATGGTGTTTCACCTACCCTGATTGTTCCCTCCGACGTCTTGCGCTGGCTGTTGCGACTTGCTTGACAGCATGAACAGAAAATGTTCTTAAGTCCACGCAGGAAATAGTAGATGGACTTCGGACTGATGATGAGGTTGAAGGGAGGGGGGAGGGTGGAACCCTCATCAAAATATCCCATCCAGAGTTTGGAGCGAGAAAACTTCCACTCCATGTCAGCATGGTTCTGAAGCAACACAGATAAACACGATAACAAACACGTAAAGGTGTTCTGCCAGTCGTAGTGACTCCCTCCCACTCCATTACTGACCAACCCAAAAACAATCAACCTGTCTAATGGTACTCATGTGAAAAACGCTCCACCATGTACGCGACACTCTGTTGTGCTTGTCAACAAAGTCCAAAGTAAACCTTGATTCATCGAAAGCTTAATGTTAACAACGATGAGGAGAGTGCCAGTGCTACGGCTCTTGGCACAAATGCAGTATCACATGAGAGAGAGCACGTGTGAGAGAGCATGTGTGAGAGAGCATGTGGATCTCTTGGCACCAATGATGTCTTGCAGTATCACATGAGAGAGAGCACGTGGATCTCGGACATGCAGCTCTTGGCACCAGTGATGTCTTGCAGTATCACATGAGAGAGAGCACGTGGATCTCGGACATGCAGCTCTTGGCACCAGTGATGTCTTGCAGTATCACGTGAGAGAGAGCATGTGGATATCGGACATGCAGCTCTTGGCACCAATGATGTCTTGCAGTATCACATGAGAGAGAGCATGTGGATCTCGGACATGCAGCTCTTGGCACCAATGATGTCTTGCAGTATCACATGAGAGAGAGCATGTGGATCTCGGACATGCAGCTCTTGGCACCAGTGATGTCTTGCAGTATCACGTGAGAGAGAGCATGTGGATCTCGGACATGCAGCTCTTGGCACCAGTGATGTCTTGCAGTATCACGTGTGAGAGCATGATCTCGGACATGCAGCTCTTGGCACCAGTGATGTCTTGCAGTATCACGTGAGAGAGAGCACGGGTCTCGGACATGCAGCCTCTTTGGCACCAATAATGTCTTGCACCACATGAGAGAGATGTGGGTCTCCAGACATGCAGCCTTGTCTTGCATCACGTGAGAGAGCATGTGGATCTCGGACATGCAGCTCTTGGCACCAATGATGTCTTGCAGCATCACGTGTGAGAGAGCACGTGGATCTCGGACACGCAGCTCTTGGCACCAGTGATGTCTTGCAGTATCACGTGAGAGAGAGCATGTGGATATCGGACATGCACCTCTTAGCACCAATGATGTCTTGCAGCATCACGTGTGAGAGAGCACGTGGATCTCGGACATGCAGCTCTTGGCACCAATGATGTCTTGCAGTATCACGTGAGAGAGAGCACGTGGGTCTCGGACATGCAGCTCTTGGCACCAATGATGTCTTGCAGTATCACGTGAGAGAGAGCATGTGGGTCTCGGACATGCAGCTCTTGGCACCAATGATGTCTTGCAGCATCACGTGTGAGAGGGCACGTGGGTCTCGGACACGCAGCTCTTGGCACCAGTGATGTCTTGGCACCATGTGATGGACATCACCTTGCAGTGATGTCTTGCAGTATCACATGAGAGAGCATGTGGATATCGGACATGCACCTCTTAGCACCAATGATGTCTTGCAGCATCACGTGTGAGAGAGCACGTGGATCTCGGACATGCAGCTCTTGGCACCAATGATGTCTTGCAGTATCACGTGAGAGAGAGCACGTGGGTATCGGACATGCAGCTCTTGGCACCAATGATGTCTTGCAGTATCACGTGAGAGAGAGCATGTGGGTGTCGGACATGCAGCTCTTGGCACCAATGATGTCTTGCAGTATCACGTGTGAGAGGGCATGTGGGTCTCGGACACACAGCTCTTGGCACCAGTGATGTCTTGCAGTATCACGTGAGAGAGAGCATGTGGATATCGGACATGCACCTCTTAGCACCAATGATGTCTTGCAGCATCACGTGTGAGAGAGCACGTGGGTCTCGGACCATGCAGCTCTTGGCACCAATGATGTCTTGCAGTATCACGTGAGAGAGAGCATGTGGATATCGGACATGCAGCTCTTGGCACCAATGATGTCTTGCAGTATCACGTGTGAGAGAGCACGTGGATCTTGGACATGCAGCTCTTGGCACCAATGATGTCTTGCAGTATCATGTGTGAGAGAGCATGTGGATCTTGGACATGCAGCTCTTGGCACCAATGATGTCTTGCAGTATCACGTGTGAGGGAGCTCGTGGATCTCGGACATGTAGGGTCCATCTGTGTAGCTGAATCATCTGTCCACTCACTCATCTGTAGCTATGTGAAGCTCATCTCCAGTTTGTGAGGCACTCTCACCATGTTTGGTTTCACAGTCTTGTCTTGTCGTCTTTGGTTAACCACACCAACATCTGTCATCAACGTAATTTGTCTATCAATGTTGTCGGTGTGATCAGCTAATTACTGATTGTGAAACGTTAAGAACTTATACCACAATTTTCTGTCTTGTTTTAACTTCAACATGCCCATTGCACACAGTCATTCCTTATGTGGCATAGTTGCATGTCAATATACATTTGCATTGAGTATAAAACAGTATCAGAACAACTTTCAGTCTGGTTTTTATCGCTGAAATGTACAGCAACACATGGACACAATACTCTAACCATGTTCTCATGCAAATCAGCAAAAACACTTTTACGAAATTGGCAAGTTTGCATGAAATTCAAAACACATTTTGAATAGACTAATCATTATCTAAATCTATATACAATCACATAATTTGGTTCCCAAATAATAATTTCACCCCCACATGAAATATCCTCTACTTTATATAGTCTACATTAGGAATACAAAGTGTATTGTGTTAATTATTATCATACTTTGTCAATCTTAGCACAATTGATGTTTAACACATAAATAAACACTCAGAGAAGTAAATTTGGAAACTGCACATCATAGATGGTCAATTTATTAATACAGACGGCATATAAGTCACAGCAGATGTGAAGTGGACATAGACGAGGTATAAAGTCATGGATGTAGTATAAGGTCATTGTATTAATGGAAAGAGTATCACAAGGTCAGTAGATGTAAGGTAAAGGTCATTAATGGAAATGTAAGGTAGAGATTCATTATTGTACAATGAAAGGTATAAGTCATTATACACCAGTGACAAAGGTATACCAGTCAGAAATGTAAAGGTACAAGTCATTGAAAAGCAAATGTAGGTGAGACCACACAGTCGGCCAAATGTAAGTATAAAGTCATTAATGAGAAGTATAAGAGTCGTATTGCACACAGTGGTAAGGTGGGGCATTAGTATGTAAGTACAAGTCATTAGTAGATGGTATAAAATTATTGAAAGGTGAATGCAGGCGCAGTACGGAAGTCATTAGTGATATGTAAGTATAAGAGTCATTAGTAACACATGGAGGTGTAAAGTCACTACTGCTGTGATGTGAGTAAAGTCATTAACAACAGCAGACGAGGCATAAAATCATTAGCGGACGAAAGTGGACGGTATAAAGTCATTAGTAGATGTAAAGTGGCACATTAGACAAATGGGGGCAAGCCAGTGTAAGTCAGTGACGATGGTATAAAATCATTAGCGGACCATGTAAGTGTAAAGTCATTTACCAGCAGATGTAAGGTATAAAGTCACAATGAAAGTAGAAAGTGTTAACAACAGATGGACGGTAAGTATAAGATCATTATTAGCAGATGTAGGGTATAAAGATTAGTACAACATCTTAAATTAGACAGTATTGGCCAGTAGTATAAGACGGTGTTAATGGAAATAACACCAGCAGACGGTGCATACCAAAGGCCAGCAGACGAAATGTAGTATAAAGTCATTAATGGAAATAGGACGGTGGCAAGTCAGCAGACGGTGCGTGTTAAGTATAAAGTCATTAATGGGTGGAAATGTAAGGTCAATCGTAGCAGATAAGTATAGGTATAAGGTCACGTGAGTGTAGTCGTACCAGCAGACGGTGGGTATAAGGTCATAACAGGCAGATGTATGTAAAGGTGGTAAATATCACCAGCAAGATGTAAAATTATTAATCACCAGCAGATGACGCAGGCGCAAATGGGTATAAGGTCATTAATTGTAGTATGATGTTTAAGGTAAAGTCATTAGTAGATGCCAAGGTATAAAATCAGCAGTCATTAACAATTTATACGGTACATTAGTAGGAAATACAATAAAATCGGCATGGCAAATATGATCGAGTATAAGTCATTTAGATGTAGGTATGTCATCAAGGCAGATGTAGGTGGGTATAAGGTCACAGTGGATGTAGGGTATAAGGTCATTAGTGGATGAGAGGTCACAGGATAAGTATAAAGTCATTAATGGAAATGCCGCAAGTTAAGCACATGGCTACCAGTACATGCAGGTATAAGGTCATTATTAGTGTAAAGAGAGTGTCATTAGTAGATGTAGGGTGAGAGTTCCCCACCACCCTCGAAACTAATATCCTTTTGCCTCCAACTGACGATGATGAACTGCGAAATAACACAACATTGGGTGTGCCAGATGTGATTTGTGGATTTGAAGCCCTGCATGGAAAGGTAATATCTATCCAATGCAGCCATGTCCTTGTAGATATACTCTACCTGTCCTTGTAGATATACTCTACTGCTCTCCTATACAATGAGTATCAGATTCCTAGCTGACTACACCTGGATGTTCAACTCAGTCTGTGATCCCAGATATTTCTGTTGGTTTCTTTTCTTTCTGTACATGTTTTCTGGGCCATCACCGGTAACTGTGCTACGAGATGCTACACGTTTCAAGAGTTGTGACAAGACTACTTACGTGAAGAAGACATCTTCTGCATCTTCGTTGCTGGGGTAGTAGTACCAGTAGAGCTGATTGATTCCACAAGCAAACGATGTGAGCACCAGGAAGAAGATGAACAAAAACTTGGCAATGTCAATGAGCATACATCCCAGAGATATCTGGAGCGGACCAAGATGCTGATTGGCTTGGAACAGGTATATAATCCGAGCAAAGCTAAAAACATTTGCAATGGCGAATAAAGATTCTGAGATGAGGGTAGGTTCGTTGTGTGGCCAGTCTCTCCTTGCTAGTTCTTTAGGGCCGTAGTTCCCAGACTCAATCTGGAGGAATGCAACACATCGCAGCGAGAATGTTGCCAGATAAAGCGACAGCATGATAAAGTCCAGCCAATTCCACCACTGCCGCATATACGCCTTCAGACCCTCCTCCCACAGCTGCTTGCACTCCGCCCATATAAACCCTGAAAATACATGAAAATATTACACTCTGCACCGATAAACCCTGAAAATACATGAAAATATCATACTCTGCACCTATTAACCCTGAAAATACATGAGACTATTGTACTCTGCACCGATTAACCCTGAAAATACATGAAAATATTATACTCTGCACCTATTAACCCTGAAAATACATGAAAATATTACACTCTGCACCGATCAACCCTGAAAATACATGAAATTATTATACTCTGCACCGATTAACCCTGAAAATACATGAAAATATTACACTCTGCACCGATAAACACTGAAAATACATGAAAATATTATACTCTGCACCGATTAACCCTGAAAATACAAAATCTGTATGATTTGACACTTGGCATCGTGACACACCCTGGAAGAGATGTGGTGTCAAATGTCAGTTCACAAATTCAGTATCGTGTGTGTGTTCACCATTGGTGTTGATGCAGGCTTGACGACGATGCGCAGACAACAATAAACAATTGAGAAAAGCTTGGGGAATGTTGCTCCATGTCTGAACCAATGCTTGTCCAACTTCATCTAACGTCAATGGCTAATATAGAGCAGTGGTTTTGGGGGTAAAAATTCAAATAACTCTACCCGAGATATAGCAAGAAATACTTGGTATCATCGGATGGTGTGGAATCTCTAGTTTTCCTAAAACAATTTTGCCAGACTTGATAGAGTCAGGCAACATGTCATTTAAGGGTAACATGCTATTTTCCAAAGACCATGTCTGCTATAAACATAAAGGAGCATTATCTTCACCCTGAACAGAGATTTTATCATTTTTGAAAATGCATATGATTACACAATACCATTTAAAAAGTGGTCAAATGTACCGTATGTTATATTTGGGATTACACTTTCTTAGTCATGTACAGATTCTAGTACTTTTGTTGGGTTGAGTCCCATGCGGGATTCTAACCCACATCCTCACAGTCAGGCACCTAACCGCGCTCAGCTAGCCACCAAACCAGCTGAGCGGGACATACCATCAGGGAGACGCCATATTATTGGGGTGAGGACATACTATCAGGGTCAGAACATATACTATCAGGGAGACGACATACTATCAGGGTGAGGACATACTATCAGGGAGACGACATACTATCGGGGTGAGGACATACTATCAGGGTCAGAACATATACTATCAGGGAGACGACATACTATCAGGGTGAGGACATACTATCAGGGTCAGAACATATACTATCAGGGAGACGACATACTATCGGGGTGAGGACATACTATCAGGGTCAGAACATATACCATCAGGAGACGACATACCATCGGGTGAGGACATACTATCAGGGTCAGAACATATACCATCAGGAGACGACATACCATCGGGGTGAGGACATACTCATCAGGAGGTGACATACCATCAGGGTGAGGACATACTCATCAGGGTCAGAACATATACCATCAGGGTGAGGACATACCATCGGGGTGAGGACATACTATCAGGGTCAGAACATATACCATCAGGATCAGAACATATACCATCAGGGAGACGACATACCATCAGGGTGAGGACATACCATCAGGGTCAGAACATATACCATCAGGAGATCGACACATACCATCAAGGAGGACATACCATCAGGGTCAGAACATATACCATCAGGAGACGACATACCATCGGGTGAGGACATACTCATCAGGGTCAGAACATATACTATCAGGAGACGACATACCATCGGGGTGAGGACATACTATCAGGGTCAGAACATATACCATCAGGGTGAGGACATACCATCAGGGTGAGGACATACCATCAGGGTCAGAACATATACTATCAGGATCAGAACATATACTATCAGGGAGACGACATACCATCAGGGTGAGGACATACCATCAGGGTGAGGACATACTATCAGGGTCAGAACATATACTATCAGGGTCAGAACATATACTATCAGGGAGACGACATACTATCAGGGTGAGGACATACTATCAGGGTCAGAACATATACTATCAGGGTCAGAACATATACTATCAGGGTCAGAACATATACTATCAGGGTGAGGACATACTATCAGGGTCAGAAAATATACTATCAGGGTCAGAACATATACTATCAGGGAGACTACATACTATCAGGGAGAGGCCATACTAACAGGGTCAGAACATATACTATCAGGGAGACTACATACTATCGGGGTGAGGACATACTATCAGGGTCAGAACATATACTATCAGGGAGACGACATACCATCGGGTGAGGACATACTCATCAGGGTCAGAACATACCATCAGGGTCAGAACATTATACCATCAGGAGATCTACATACCATCAGGGTGAGGACATACCATCAGGGTGAGGACATACCATCAGGGTCAGAACATATACTATCAGGGTGAGGACATACCATCAGGGTGAGGACATACCATCAGGGTCAGAACATACACTATCAGGGTCAGAACATATACTATCAGGGAGACGACATACTATTAGGGTGAGGACATACTATCAGGGTCAGAACATATACTATCAGGGTGAGGACATACTATCAGGGTGAGGACATACTATCAGGGTGAGGACATACTATCAGGGTCAGAACATATACCATCAGGAGACTACATACCATCAGGGTGAGGACATACTATCAGGGTGAGGACATACCATCAGGGTCAGAACATATACCATCAGGAGACCTACATACCATCAGGTGAGGACATACTATCAGGGTCAGAACATATACCATCAGGGTGAGGACATACTATCAGGGTCAGAACATATACCATCAGGAGAGGACATACCATCAGGGTGAACACATACCATCAGGGAGGCGACATACTATCAGGGTGAGGACATACCATCAGGGTGAGGACATACCATCAGGGTCAGAACATATACCATCAGGAGGACACATACCATCATAGGACATACCATCAGGGTGAGGACATACTATCAGGGTCAGAACATATACTATCAGGAGACGACATACCATCAGGGTGAGGACATACTATCAGGGTCAGAACATATACTATCAGGGAGACGACATACTATCGGGGTGAGGACATACCATCAGGGTCAGAACATATACTATCAGGAGACGACATACCATCGGAGTGAGGACATACTATCAGGGTGAGGACATACTATCAGGGTCAGAACATATACCATCAGGAGACGACATACCATCGGGGTGAGGACATACTATCAGGGTGAGGACATACTATCAGGGTCAGAACATATACTATCAGGGAGACGACATACTATCAGGGTGAGGACATACTATCAGGGTGAGGACATACTATCAGGGTCAGAACATATACTATCAGGGAGACGACATACTATCAGGGTGAGGACATACTATCAGGGTCAGAACATATACTATCAGGGAGACGACATACCATCAGGGTGAGAACATACTATCAGGGTCAGAACATATACTATCAGGAGGAGATACCATACATACTATCAGGGTGAGGACATACTATCAGGGTCAGAACATATACTATCAGGGAGACGACATACCATCAGGGTGAGGACATACTATCAGGAGGAACATATACTATCAGGAGACGACATACTATCATCAGGATCAGAACATATACTATCAGGGAGACTACATACTATCGGGGTGAGGACATATACTATCAGGGAGGTGACATACTATCAGGGTGAGGACATACTATCAGGGTCAGAACATATACTATCAGGGTGAGGACATACTATCGGGGTGAGGACATACTATCAGGGTCAGAACATATACTATCAGGATCAGAACATATACTATCAGGGAGACGACATACTATCAGGGTGAGGACATACTATCAGGGTCAGAACATATACTATCAGGGAGACGACATACTATCAGGGTGAGGACATACTATCAGGGTCAGAACATATACTATCAGGGAGACGACATACTATCAGGGTGAGGACATACTATCAGGGTCAGAACATATACTATCAGGGAGACGACATACTATCAGGGTGAGGACATACTATCAGGGTCAGAACATATACTATCAGGGAGACGACATACTATCAGGGTGAGGACATACTATCAGGGTCAGAACATATACTATCAGGGTGAGGACATACTATCAGGGTCAGAACATATACTATCAGGGTCAGAACATATACTATCAGGGAGACTACATACTATCAGGGAGACGCCATACTAACAGGGTCAGAACATATACTATCAGGGAGACTACATACTATCAGGGTGAGGACATACTATCAGGATCAGAACATATATACCATCAGGAGACGACATACTATCAGGGTGAGGACATACTATCAGGGTCAGAACATATACTATCAGGGAGACGACATACTATCAGGGTGAGGACATACTATCAGGGTCAGAACATATACTATCAGGGAGACGACATACTATCGGGGTGAGGACATACTATCAGGGTCAGAACATATACATCAGGGAGACGACATACTATCAGGGTGAGGACATACTATCAGGGTCAGAACATATACTATCAGGGTGAGGACATACTATCAGGGTCAGAACATATACTATCAGGGTCAGAACATATACTATCAGGGAGACTACATACTATCAGGGTGAGGACATACTAACAGGGTCAGAACATATACTATCACTACTATCAGGGTGAGGACATACCATCAGGATCAGACATATACTATCAGGGTGAGGACATACTATCAGGGTCAGAGATACATATACTATCAGGGTGAGGACATACTATCAGGGTGAGGACATACTATCAGGGTCAGAACATATACTATCAGGACATACCATCAGGGTCAGACATACTATCAGGGGTGAGGACATACTATCAGGGTCAGAACATATACTATCAGGGTCAGAACATATACCATCAGGGTGAGGACATACCATCAGGGTCAGGACATACTACCATCAGGGTCAGAACATATACCATCAGGGTGGAGGACATACCATCAGGGTGAGGACATACTATCAGGGTCAGAACATATATCAGGGTCAGGGAGACGACATACCATCAGGGTGAGGACATACTATCAGGGTGAGGACATACTATCAGGGTCAGAACATATACTATCAGGAGACAGGGACTATCGGACATACTATCAGGGTGAGGACATACTATCAGGGTCAGAACATATACTATCAGGGATCACATACTATCAGGGTGAGGACATACTATCAGGGTGAGGACATACCATCAGGGTCAGAACATATACTATCAGGGTCAGAACATACATACTATCCATCAGGGTGAGGACATACTATCAGGGTCAGAACATATACTATCCAGGAGACGACACATACTATCATCAGGGTGAGGACATACTATCAGGGTCAGAACATATACTATCAGGGAGACGACATACTATCGGGGTGAGGACATACTATCAGGGTGAGGACATACTATCAGGGTCAGAACATATACTATCAGGGAGACGACATACTATCAGGGTGAGGACATACTATCAGGGTGAGGACATACTATCAGGGTCAGAACATATACTATCAGGGTCAGAACGACATACTATCAGGGTGAGGACATACTATCAGGGTGAGGACATACTATCAGGGTCAGAACATATACTATCAGGGAGACGACATACTATCGGGGTGAGGACATACTATCAGGGTCAGAACATATACTATCAGGGAGACGACATACTATCAGGGTGAGGACATACTATCAGGGTCAGAACATATACTATCAGGGAGACGACATACTATCAGGGTGAGGACATACTATCAGGGTCAGAACATATACTATCAGGGAGACGACATACTATCGGGGTGAGGACATACTATCAGGATCAGAACATATACTATCAGGGAGACGACATACTATCAGGGTGAGGACATACTATCAGGGTCAGAACATATACTATCAGGGAGGTGACATACTATCAGGGTGAGGACATACTATCAGGGTCAGAACATATACTATCAGGGTGAGGACATACTATCGGGGTGAGGACATACTATCAGGGTCAGAACATATACTATCAGGATCAGAACATATACTATCAGGGAGACGACATACTATCAGGGGTGAGGACATACTATCAGGGTCAGAACATATACTATCAGGGAGACGACATACTATCGGGTGAGGACATACTATCAGGGTCAGAACATATACTATCAGGGAGACGACATACTATCGGGGTGAGGACATACTATCAGGGTCAGAACATATACTATCAGGGAGACGACATACTATCGGGGTGAGGACATACTATCAGGGTCAGAACATATACTATCAGGGAGACGACATACTATCGGGGTGAGGACATACTATCTGGGTGAGGACATACTATTAGGGTCAGAACATATACTATCAGGGAGACGACATACTATCAGGGTGAGGACATATACTATCACGGAGACGACATACTATCGGGGTGAGGACATACTATCAGGGCGAGAACATATGCTATCAGGGAGACGACATACTATCAGGGCGAGAACATATACTATCAGGGAGACGACATACTATCAGGGCGAGAACATATACTATCAGGAAGACGAGATACTATCAGGGCGAGAACATATACTATCAGGGCGAGAACATACTATCTTGGAGAGTACAAACTATCAAGTAAACATCAAATTGCCTCTATGACTGTTTGTCAGTGACCCATTACACGTTCCCTGATTGAGAGGTGTTGATTCCATGATCACCTGTCATCAGTGTTACAGGTCAGTCTATAACTCATAATGTCATACAACTCCCAGTGACATCATACAACTCCCAGTGACATCATACAATTCCCAGTGATGTCATACAACTCCCAGTGATGTCATACAGTGATGTCATACAGTGATGTCATACAACTCCCAGTGATGTCATACAACTCTCAGTGATGTTATACAACTCCCAGTGATGTCATACAACTCCCAGAGATGTCATACAACTCCCAGTGATGTCATACAGTGATGTCACACAACTTCCAGTGATGTCCTTACCTGTCACCCAGAGCACTATCATCCACTCCAACTCTGATGGAGGTAATCCACGGAATTTCTCCCGCTTGTGAGAAGTACTGATGTCTGTTGACGCACACACTAACAGAAATAGAAACACTCCGAACGATGCACTGTGGTAAAGGAACTTCATGAAGGGACTCCGAAGGAGTTGTCCGATTTTACTGCGTGGGAAGACCCAGTAGTACACAGCCATGAAGGGAAGCAGCAGGATGAGCCCAATGCAGATAAGGAATTTGGTGAAGCCGTTGCGTTTCCTCCATCCCGGAAGTCCCTCATACCAGATGGACGTGAGGAGCTGCTGACAGTGTGGATGAGCTACAAACTGGAAATACAGGCCATACCTAGAGTCAAAGGTGAGCTACAAACTGGAAATACAGGCCATACTTAGAGTCAAAGGTGAGCTACAAACTGGAAATACAGGCCATACCTAGAGTCAAAGGTGAGCTACAAACTGGAAATACAGGCCATACCTAGAGTCAAAGGTGAGCTACAAACTGGAAATACAGGCCATACTTAGAGTCAAAGGTGAGCTACAAACTGGAAATACAGGCCATACTTAGAGTCAAAGGTGAGCTACAAAATACAGGAAATACAGGCCATACCTAGAGTCAAAGGTGAGCTACAAACTGGAAATACAGGCCATACTTAGAGTCAAAGGTGAGCTACAAACTGGAAATACAGGCCATACTTAGAGTCAAAGGTGAGCTACAAACTGGAAATACAGGCCATACTTAGAGTCAAAGGTGAGCTACAAACTGGGAAATACAGGCCATACCTTAGAGTCAAAGGTGAGCTACAAACTGGAAATACAGGCCATACCTCAAAGGTGAGCTCAAAGAGTGAGCTGGTGAAATGGAAATACAGGCCATACTTAGAGTCAAAGGTAAGCTACAAACTGGAAATACAGGCCATACCTAGAGTCAAAGGTGAGCTACAAACTGGAAATACAGGCCATACTTAGAGTCAAAGGTGAGCTACAAACTGGAAATACAGGCCATACTTAGAGTCAAAGGTGAGCTACAAACTGGAAATACAGGCCATACCTAGAGTCAAAGGTGAGCTACAAACTGGAAATACAGGCCATACTTAGAGTCAAAGGTGAGCTACAAACTGGAAATACAGGCCATACCTAGAGTCAAAGGTGAGCTACAAACTGGAAATACAGGCCATACCTAGAGTCAAAGGTGAGCTACAAACTGGAAATACAGGCCATACTTAGAGTCAAAGGTGAGCTACAAACTGGAAATACAGGCCATACCTAGAGTCAAAGGTGAGCTACAAACTGGAAATACAGGCCATACTTAGAGTCAAAGGTGAGCTACAAACTGGAAATACAGGCCATACCTAGAGTCAAAGGTGAGCTACAAACTGGAAATACAGGCCATACCTAGAGTCAAAGGTGAGCTACAAACTGGAAATACAGGCCATGCCTAGAGTCAAAGGTGAGCTACAAGTCACTGGAAATACAGGCCATACTTAGAGTCAGGTGAGTCAACAGGTGAGCTACAAACTGGAAATACAGGCCATACTTAGAGTCAAAGGTGAGCTACAAACTGGAAATACAGGCCAAATACAGGCCATACCTAGATACACCTAGAGTCTAAGGTGAGCTACAAACTGGAAATACAGGCCATACCTAGAGTCAAAGGTGAGCTACAAACTGGAAATACAGGCCATACCTAGAGTCAAAGGTGAGCTACAAACTGGAAATACAGGCCATACCTAGAGTCAAAGGTGAGCTACAAACTGGAAATACAGGCCATACTTAGAGTCAAAGGTGAGCTACAAACTGGAAATACAGGCCATACCTAGAGTCAAAGGTGAGCTACAAACTGGAAATACAGGCCATACCTAGAGTCTAGAGCTCAAACTGGAAATGAGGCTACTTAGAGTCAAAGGTGAGCTACAAACTGGAAATACAGGCCATACCTAGAGTCAAAGGTCAAAGGTGAGCTACAAACTGGAAATACAGGCCATACCTAGAGTCTAAGGTGAGCTACAAACTGGAAATACAGGCCATACTTAGAGTCTAAGGTGAGCTACAAACTGGAAATACAGGCCATACCTAGAGTCTAAGGTGAGCTACAAACTGGAAATACAGGCCATACTTAGAGTCAAAGGTGAGCTACAAACTGGAAATACAGGCCATACCTTAGAGCTAAGGTGAGCTACAAACTGGAAATACAGGCCATACTTAGAGTCAAAGGTGAGCTACAAACTGGAAATACAGGCCATACTTAGAGTCAAAGGTGAGCTACAAACTGGAAATACAGGCCATACTTAGAGTCAAAGGTGAGCTACAAACTGGAAATACAGGCCATACTTAGAGTCAAAGGTGAGCTACAAACTGGAAATACAGGCCATACTTAGAGTCAAAGGTGAGCTACAAATGGGTATAGAATGGTTCATTTTAGAGGCAACTGAACTGCATTGTTGGAACATTTTCTATACAAACATATAATCTACATGACCCCTCGGTCATAATGCTGAGTATATATGCCAAACATATAGTGATAAGGTGAGCTATAAACTGGAAATCAATGTCATCGACATAGCGATTGGATGACCTGCAAAGGCAAGGCTACTGTGATCAGCCGTTCTTTCTCAACTGTATTATATAATAAGTGGAGGAGGGCTTATTAATTTATTTCATACGCTGGAAACATTACCATTAGCAAAACAGCAAAAGGTGAGCCATATTAAGTTAATTGGTGTGGAAACTATTATATTTGTGTCCAATAACTAATAAAGTAGCCCCCAACATTGACAGTATTCAGCTACAACTGAACCAGGTGAGCTCTTAACTACCATAAAAAGTATATAAATATAATTGCAGGCAACGATGAGGTCTCCTTGGCTTTACTTTCTATCTACTGTATCTGAGGGCTAGATATCATCGTCCAAAACGGAGCCAGAACACGTGTTTTGACAGGCGAGCGGATCTCCCAAATACAGCCGGGGTCGCGGGTCAGAACATATAACATGTACCGTTTAAGAAGTTCCGGAGAAGAAATAGTTCCCTCTTTAAAAGGCTGTATCTCAGTTGTTCTTGGGTCTACGGTCAAAACAATTAGTGTTCTGGAATCACCAAAACATCATCTACCATACTGGCAGAATTTGCACATTTTGGGAGCAAACTACTCAGAAAACTGCTGAAAAACATGGCCAAAAACTGAAAACAAAAATAATTGCCAAACAGTACGTTTTAGTGACTTGACCCGTCCAGGCAAAATTGTTGGGAATTTGATTGTGCATATGTACAAGAAATTTGGAAGTGTTGGAACGATTAGTTCTTGAGATATTTGCTGTCAAACGTTGAAATTTTGGAATTATTTTTTAATTATCTCCCCTTTGCTATTGGGCCAAGAGCCTAGAGATTTTTAAGGGGAATATCTACACCTCGGTGCGCATCTGTGTGATTTTTTGTAAGCGATTCGGAGCATTGGTTTAGGAGTTATGTTTGGTACAAAAATCGGCGGAATAATAAATAATAATAATAATCCGAACGATTACAATAGGTCTCCCGCCTAATAATAACAAGTGCTGAATTTACTTCACCTGTTTCTGCTCATACTTGAGTGCCAGTTTTAATCTGGACAAGGTGAGCTTATCATTGTCGTCGTCGTCCTCCTCCTCCTCCTCCTCTTCTCCATCAGTCATCTTATTCAGGACAGCAATCACCTCCTCACTACTGCGACACTGGTCCAGAAGGTCACACGCATACTTCCGACACTGATGAGCTAGCTGCAGGTACGAGTCTTTGAATTCGTTTTCTCGGAGCGCCAGTTTGTCCAGCTCCCACGACAACATGAAGGCTGTGAGTACCGGGTCCGGGCTGGTGAGAGAGATCCACGCCGGACTTGCCAAGGCCCGGTAGGTATTGATTCTGAGCAGTGAATGTCGTAAGCTGTCAGCATGCACTTGTGCTTGACATCGCTTGCAGGAGCATGACAGTTGATGGGGGCGTTCAATGGTTGCACCATGGAGTAGTAAAAGTTGCAGTATTTCAAACTGGTTGCAATGAGCTGCCAAGATCACTGGAGAAATGTCTGGAGAGTAGTCAAAACTTTCTTCATCCATATGACGTGTTTTCGACCAATCGTAACCCAGCATTTCTCGTGTAATTGAAGGATGCTCAATCAACATCTCAACAATACGATATACACCTTCCCTTATTGCGTACAACAACGCATCACCGATCTTAACACCATCCTGCTTCAACAGCAGCTCCACAATTTCCGTGTTTTCATTGTCCACAGCAATCTGAATGGCTGACCGGCCCAACATATCTGTACAGTTGACATTTACTGGATTCGAACCATGGAGACAGCGAATCATTGTGGGCTTGTCTCCCTTTTCTGCAGCATCCAGAAATATCCTCTCTTGGGGATCCATCCTACTTCCGTGTTTAATTGTTTCCAAGGGGATGTCCACCGCTCGTGTCGAACCACGCGAACCTGATCGTTTACTGCCGTAGCCAGTCAGCACCATGGTGGAGGCAAGTTGCACACAGGTGTTCCCTCACCCAGGGGGAAGGACTCACACAGTTACTCAGGGTAAGGCTTCTGAAACACACAACATCAAGTGCAAGACGGGACTCAAGCAACAATAAAATATTTAATTTCCATGATGTTAAACATTCTAGATAGCTATAAATAACATCATCCCCAACACCACAAACAACCCCACCCCCACAAACAACCTCATCCCACCCCCACAAACAACCCCATCCCCACAAACAACCTCATCCCACCCCACAAACAAACAACCTCTCATCCCACAACAAACAACCCCATCCCCACAAACAACCTCATCCCACCCCATCACAAACAACCCCCATCCCCACAAACAACCTCATCCCACCCCAAACAACCCCACCCCACAAACAACCTCATCCCACATCCCACCCCACAAAACAACCCCATCCCCACAAACCTCATCCCACCCCACACAAACAATCTTATCCCACCCCCACAAACAACCCCACCCCCCACAAACAACCTCATCCCCTACCCCACAAACAGCCATATCCCCATAAACATCCTCATCCCACCCCACGAACAACCTCATCCCAAGACCGCCTCTGTGGTGTGGTGGTTAGAGCGTCCGCCCGGAGAGCGGAAGGTCACGCGGGTTCGATCCCCGACCGTGTCATACCAAAGAGACGTTAAAATATGGTACTTGTTGGTCCCTGTCTGGCTCGGCATTAATGGGTACAACAAGGACTGGTCTGCTCGGAGTCAACCCTGGTCCTGGTCACTGTCCTATCATCACACATCCCATGTAATTGAGAAATTACCACACACTGATACTGACACCTTCCTTTCTGTCACCTGAGCAGTGGTGCCATTATTGTGCTGGAAACCGGACATCGATTGCGAATTAACTATGCACACACACTATACACACAAAGAGTACAAGAGACTTTCAAGGACATTGTACATGAATATCTGTAACATTATGAAATAGCAAAGTTACTGTTCTGACATTTGAGGCCACATTCCAGCACTATTCACTGTGACAAGAGCCAGGACTTCTAGTCCTGACAAACATGAGCTTTAACCACGTCCCCACAACCCTTTATCAAGGTGTAGTACAAAGTATGAGTGCAACACCAGAAATGCTGATAGCAAATACTTGATGCCAACTATGGTGTCCCACGGCAGGTAATAAGTCTGTTGGCAAGACAACAACAGAATCGCTAAAGTTGAAATTGTGTATGATATAGGAATAATATATTGTTATATAAGAGGTTACTTAATGATCTTGGCCTTTCTAAACACATTCTTGGTATATTAGAGGTTATTTAAAGATCTCTGTCTTTCTAAACACATTTTTGTTATATTAGAGGTTATTAAATGATCTCGGCCTTTCTAAACACATTCTTGTTATATTAGAGGTTATTTAATGATCTTGGCCTTTCTAAACACATTCTTGTTATATAAGAGGTTATTTAATGATCTTGGCCTTTCTAAACACATTCTTGTTATATTAGAGGTTATTTAATGATCTTGGCCTTCTAAACACATTCTTGTTATATAAGAGGTTATTTAATGATCTTGGCCTTTCTAAACACATTCTTGTTATATTAGAGGTTATTTAATGATCTTGGCCTTTCTAAACACATATATGAGGTTATATAATGATCTCTGGCTTTCCAAACACATGTCTTGTTATATTAGAGGTTATTTAATGATCTTGGCCTTTCTAAACACATTCTTGTTATATTAGAGGTTATTTAATGATCTTGGCCTTTCTAAACACATTCTTGGTATATTAGAGGTTATTTAAAGATCTCTGTCTTTCCAAACACATGTTTGTTATATTAGAGGTTATTAAATGATCTCGGCCTTTCTAAACACATTCTTGTTATATTAGAGGTTATTTAATGATCTTGGCCTTTCTAAACACATTCTTGGTATATTAGAGGTTATTTAATGATCTCTGCCTTTCCAAACACATTCTTGTTATATTAGAGGTTATTAAATGATCTTGGCCTTTCTAAACACATTCTTGGTATATTAGAGGTTATTTAATGATCTTGGCCTTCTAAACACATTCTTGTTATATAAGAGGTTATTTAATGATCTTGGCCTTTCTTAACACATTCTTGTTATATTAGAGGTTATTCAATGATCTTGGCCTTCTAAACACATTCTTGTTATATAAGAGGTTATTTAATGATCTTGGCCTTCTAAACACATTCTTGTTATATAAGAGGTTATTTAATGATCTTGGCCTTTCTTAACACATTCTTGTTATATTAGAGGTTATTTAATGATCTTGGCCTTCTAAACACATTCTTGTTATATAAGAGGTTATTTAATGATCTTGGCCTTTCTAAACACATTCTTGGTATATTAGAGGTTATTTAATGATCTTGGCCTTCTAAACACATTCTTGTTATATAAGAGGTTATTTAATGATCTTGGCCTTTCTTAACACATTCTTGTTATATTAGAGGTTATTTAATGATCTTGGCCTTCTAAATACATTCTTGTTATATAAGAGGTTATTTAATGATCTTGGCCTTCTAAACACATTCTTGTTATATTAGAAGTGATTTAACAATCTCTGTCTTTCTTAACACATTAACTAACATTTTCCGATGGACGCATTTTTATCCTGCTTACATGTCAACAATTTCTAATTAAACAAACTCTGTGCTGTTCATATATACTCACATTTCTCTACGTAGAAAATATCCCTCACTATTAACACTGTCAACCCTTGCATGATCCAAGACCACCTTGACAATCACTGTCTGATACAACCATTTTCACAATCACTGCGTAATAATACCACCTTCACAATGACTGTGTAATAAGACCACCTTCACAATCACTGTGTAATAAGACCACCTTCACAATCACTGAGTAATAAGACCACCTTCAAGATCACAATCTGTTTTGAGTGAATCAACCGAACTTCAGGATTTCCAGATATCTCCAGACCAAAGCAACCTTCATTATGTTCCTCATGGTGACCTGTGATTATCTCCTCTAATGAATGTCTCACCGAACAAAGTGACAAATGAGGTGTGATCCGCTAAAGTAACAGGTATATAACAGATTAATCAACATGGCCATCACGGGAAACTCGGTGCTGTTTAGGCGGACAACTGACAGCTCACATTTCCTTTTGCGTGTGTCACCAAGATCAATACTTCATGGTAATAGGGCTGTGTCGGTTATAGAATCAGAGCCTTCACTGGTTTTAGGCTCAGCTGCCCTTTCCTTTATGTCGTCTAATTTTAATACACAAATAGGTTACTTTTAGATGGGCACAGCTATCTTAGGAAATCCTGCTATTTGTGGATGAGAGACTATTGACGATGCTGCCTGTCTCTTCTCTGGAGATGCCAATAAGGTTACTGTTCTAGAGTATGTTAACTGTCTACAGTGTTCCCTCTGCTGTTGTCACGTTTCACCCTCTTTTATCAAAGTTATTTTGGGGTGTATTTTAGTAGGGGTGGATGTCATCCTTAAGTTAAGACCATATCTCCCAAACACACCACTTATACAGGTGGAAAGATGCATCCGACTCTCAACATCTGCTATATAAAGTCTTGTTAAGTTGAATTAAACACACTTGAACTTCATACTGTCAGGGGAGACAAGGAGAAGGCCTTTTTGTGAGTACATTCTTGTTTCTTTAATAAAGTTGAATAAACTAATGCCCAAAAGAAACAATACCACCTGTTTAAAAGGACATTAAAGAAATTTTAGATTGGTGTATTTCATTTGAGAATTTTTTTCAAATAACAAGTGTACTAAAATTCATTTCAATTAATCAGTTACAATCATTACGACAGGCCTGTAAAGACGTGAGGAGTCCAAAATGAAAATTTCATTAATACCCACATGACGAGGCAAATGTGGAAAATGGCAAGCAGACGTCGCAAGTCATGTTAGTACCGGGTATGTCCACTGTGAGCGTCAATACATACCAGTACACATCTACAGGCTGATGACGTCAAACGTTGGATGACTTTGGGGGGGATGATGCGTTGCCATTTATCAAGGAGGCATTGTTCCAATTCCCGGAGGTTGACTGCAGGTACAAGGCAATTTCTAAGTTGGCGATCAAGATGGTCCCGTAACTGTTCGATTTGGTGAATATGCCACCCAGGGTAAAACTTGAATATTGGCGCTGGTGAAGAACTTCTGACTCAGCCTTGCTGTATGTGGCCTCGCATTATCGTGCTGGAAAATGATTCCACGAGGCTGTTTTTGGATGAATGGCTCTGCAGCTGGATATAAAATTCTATCTAGATAATGCTGTGCATTCAGGTTTCTTCGAATAACGACAAGCATCTTTTTGTCGTCACTACAGATTCCACCCCAAACCATTAACCCTACGTCCCCGAATGGACTGTCTTGATGAATGCAATTCTGTACCAAAGGTTCACCAACTCTTTGGTACACACGCTGCCGACCATCGTTCTTGAAGATGCAAAATCTGCTCTCGTTGGAAAACATGACCCGTTCCCAGTCTCGTCAATGTCGCCTGCCCACACCAGTACCAGTCTGTTGGCTCGCTGTTGAGGAGTCAGAAACGCTCCGCGTTATGGGCAAAATGGTTGGATACCATGTGTCTGCAATCTCCTGTACGCGGTTTGTCAACTTATCACTTGACCCAGTGATGTCCCTGCCAAAAACGTCATGGTGATGAAGCGGTTCCGGAGATGAAGTACCCAGATGTGACGGTCTACAATAGGCGTGGTCTCCCGTGGTCTCCTGCTTCTAAGTCTGTCTCTTGTCCAACCTGTTTGATGCAACCGCTGCATTACCTGCTGACGGTTATGTGCACACATCCCAACTTTCTGGCGACATCAGTGTGCACTGCTCCCTGTTTGACCATTCCAGACCATTCTGTCAAACGTGGCATTTTTTTTTGTCTGTTTATTGTTGCTGTGATCCCAACATGTCGAGTCAGCCGTTATATACAGTTGAAATGCACTTGCATTTTGTGCTATTGGAAGTAATATCATTTTTTGCAAAGCGTGCATTTTTCTCAATTGATCAAATGTTCCCGGATTTTTCAATTGAATACGTTAGGTATG